TTTCCAGTTAGCATTAAAATTACACAATGTCTTGTCTCGAATCAAAGCCGTCAATTTCACCATCTCAGCCAACTCCATCAGTTTCACCATCCATTCTTCCACTGTAGGTAATATCTTATCTTTCCATCTCTGTGCATATAATAGGCTTGCTACGTTATCATATATAAAAACAAAGTTCCATAGGTTTTTTCCAACTGTTTGTCCATCAGACCCAAAAGGAAAGTCTCTGGTTTTGACTGTATGTTAATCTTTAAAACCTTCTGTATTAAAATATGTATCTAGTTACATTACATCATTTTATAAAAGTTGTCTTTAAGATTATAACACAATGTAAATTTCAATCCTTTCTGACACATAGTAATAATGACTAGATCAGAATTTTAACTGTCAACTGCAGTTTGTACAAATTGTTACTTTATAACAATAAGATTTTTTTTTAACCAGCCCCTGATGTAAAGTCCAAGCTGAGTTTTCTGTTTTATGATTCCCATTACTTAGATTTGCTATTATTCTCTATAACACTTAGCATCTAGAGGAGAAAATATAGTGCATACTAGAAATTAGGAGAGCAATGAAGGTTTGTACCCCAGGGCACTTTCTTTTAGGACAAAAAATACATTATTAACTATTGTAAATGTAGATGTAAAACAAACTGACAATATCTGAAACAGATCTGAAATAAGGGCCTGAATCTGGAATTCTATTAAGGTTGTGTGGCTTCTCCTTGAAATTGAGACCATAAAATCCATGACTTTTAGGCACAAGGTCTTCCTCTACCTTATTCTTTCAGTTTGTGTATATGCGTATATGTGTGCATATACATATGGAGATGTTATATACATGGCTTTCCATTATTTTTTTTCAAGTTAAAATTTTAAGATAATGGGAAACAGGATGCCTGTAGAACTGAAAGAATTCATCTGGAGACCTTGATTGTATGATACTTCTGGAGGCAACATTTAATCCATATTTGTTACATAGGCTATATCCATCTTGCTTTGTGAAGGGTATCAGCAATATTGGGAAAGGCATCAGAAGAGAACTGAAACAAGTGAAATTTTAATGGGCAGGTTTTGTGATGGATGGCATGAGCAGGGAAGATTCTGGAATGGAGGTTCAAGGTTGTCAGGAGGGAGGAGAGACGTTCCAGAGCAATCACCTCGTCACCCCGCAACAAGAGTGTTGGAAGACAAAGAGAATGAGGCTGGCCCCTCCCTAGAGTTTCACAGGGTATATCCACTAGCGTAGGTTTAGTCTGGTGAGATTCTGTCTATAAGGTACAAGCTAATAAAGAAGCTATTTTGGACTGAACTGGACTGTCTCTTCACTGTTCTTGGGCTGAGCCTGACAGGTTTAACAATACAGACTCTTGGAAACTCCTCTGTATTTTGAATAAAATCCTGAATAACATTGACTTTCTGATTAATAAAAACTAATTTATTTAAAGGTCATTAATAAGTGAAATCCAGTAAAGGGAATAGAATGAGTAAGTGGCAGATAGAAAAGCTGGTAGGATATTTATTTTGCAAATGAGAAGATAAAATCTAAAATAAATATTAAAAAAGGCTTGTTTGTAAAGTTATTCAGTGAAACAATATATATTATATATATATAATTAGTTATAATTGCTTGAAGTTTATATGAGAGATTCATGGGAGTCCATGGGGAGGGCAAGTGGGCAAGTGATGAAATGTGCATCACAACATTGTGATACAAACTTTACCCCTTACATATTTGTGTGGTATGTTGCGACATAAGTAAGAAAAGGCAGAGCTTCTTGCATCATGACATTGCAAGACATGTTGTATTATTTTGGCATCATCTTGGCTAGCTGCAGATAACTATAGGGATATTAACTGCTGGTTAGATTCTCTATATCTGCTTAATTTCAAGGAAGAGAATTAAACATCTAACATCTAACAATTGAAATAAAAAGTAGAGTGAAAATTCACAAGTTTGAGCAGTCTCAGAAGTTGTATTGTATCAAAGCAAAACAGAGTTCTTGTACCATAGTACTACACTATGATATATACATCTTCCTTTTAACCCTCATAGTATTATGTGGAACATGTTTAGATTTACTATCAGACATGAAAATGAACCACATCTCTTTTTTGGGGTATTATCAAACTAACTTTGTAAGTAATTTGCTTGCTTTAATTGAATTTGCAAATACAAAATGTTATACACCAGCAGCTTACAATTTATAATGCAACTTTAATTCCTGTCTGATTTATGATTAATGCATTAAAGTTATATATAGTCTAGAAAATACAAACATTGAATGTGGAACATTTGTCAGGACCAAATTTAAATTTTGACCATGGATATGTTCAGTGTGCTATGTAAGCTTCAACTAAACTCATTTTGAGAAAAAAGTTGTCTCTCAAAATATTCCATATTATATAAGTGCATATATCCAATAACAACATAAAGATGCAATTGTGTAGTAACTTAGTTAAATAAGACCAAAGTATTAAACTTTCAAATTCTCCAGTTGTCCTTTAGGCTGGATGTAATAGAAGAAGAGATCTGGAAAAATTGGTTGCTATTTTGTGACACAGTGACATTTCTAATAGATTATCGTACTATTGCTTTGAATGCTTTTCCCCTAAAAGGAATAAAAGAATAGACTTTCACATAGTGCAGAGATTCCTCAGATTATGTAAGACCTGACTTAATTAAACTCAGGTTAAAATGTTTCCCTAAGTCACATCTAAAATTTTCAAGGTATATAAAAATTCACATTATGCATGCAGTGCATGCAGATGAACACTGTAGAGCAGTGTTGTCCAAACCTGGCCACTTTAAGATGAGTGGACTTCAACTCCCAGAATT